TGGCGCGTGTGGCCCTCGCGAGGGTCACCTTGCTGCCTGCCAGCGCATCCCCGCGGCGCGAGGGGATCGCCCAAGCCCGCAGTCTGCCGCAGCTCCTCACCTCCCGCAGTGCCCGGAGCCCTGGGTCCCCTGGGGTTATTTTTAGGGAGAAGAAGGGATAGATAAGCTGCATTTAGGGTGCTTCTGTAGACACGGGGAGCCCTAAGGAACCTATATTAAGCTGGAGCAAAGTGTCACTAAGTAGTGGTTCTTGCTGATGCCTAGCTGCCTCCTTGGAGTTTTCATCAGCAGCTCTCAAAGGAGAGCTGGGGAAACTGAGGCAAAGCAACTCCGCAGCCGGCATCACCCTGCAAGGTGTTTGTAGAGCTGGGGTGGAAGGGAATTGCCTGGCTGCTTGGCATTGCTGTCCCATCAGCTCTGCTGTGGGTCTTGTACCGGGTACCAGTGCGGGCAGGGAGGAATGGATTCTGCAGGGCTGGAGGTGACGGTGCAGCGGGGTTCATGGTGCAGGGCTGGGAAATGCAGGGGAGCTGCGAGCACCACCCACACCGCTGTGGGCCCTGCTTGGGGGGACCTTGGGTGCTCTGTCCACAAAGGCTTTTCAAGCAAGATACTTGTGCTGTTCTGTAGGTGTGGAGAAACTGGTCTCTTGGTAAGGTTTGGGCTTTTGCAGGTGTGTTAGGCTGCGCACGAAGCAATCTGTGGCAAAAGTTTGGAGACTGGTGGATTTTTGTAGCTTTCCCATGTACGCAGCTCTTGGGCACCGGGAGGTCCGAGCCTTGAGTGGAAATCCACGGGGCAGTGAAGTCACTGGGAAGTTTTGTGCCATTTTTTGATTTCTGTATGTGCAAGATTTCACTGTTACATTCTGACTCAGACCCATCTGAGAATGACTTTATTTACATCAGAAAATAAGTGATATTCATATTTGGTGATTATAGAACGATTCAGATGCGGTAAGGATGTGAAGGTGGCATTTACTTCTGCCTGTAAGTTCAAGATAGCAAAATAAATCTCCCAAATAATAACAGTAATAAAAAAATAGACTGACCACTGCTTTATTTAATGACACCGTATGTTAAAGCGGTTTTCATTTTTATTATTTTGCATTATTGAGTGAGTCTTCAGAGGAATATACTGTTTGCCTCAAAGAGCAGAAAGTACTTGACACAACAGGTATTTAATTTCTTTGAAGAATCATAAGTAGATAATTATATTTGTACATTCATTTATGGTAGCTGAACAGGAGACTTCAATTATATTTAATAGTATCTTGTTTGACTTTGACACTTGTAAAATCATGAGATACGGTTAGAGGGTGAGGAAATGCAGCATATGCTCAGCGCAAGCCTGAACTGCACAGTGGTTAATTACGAGAATAAATCACAGCCCAGCCTGGTGCTGTGCTGCAGGAAAGCCTTCGATCCAGATGCTCTGTGCTGGTAGGAGTGTAGTGTTACACAGGATGTGTAAAGATTTGGGTGTCCAGGAAAGCAATTTCTCCACGTTTACAGAAGAAGAAAAAGTCTCAGCTGGTGGAAGGTGCTGTTGGCACCTGCTCCATGCTTGCGGTGTGCAGGCAGCATGCTCCTGGGTGCGACCCTCGAAGGACCCTCATGCACTGTCACTCTCATCAATGCTGCTCTAGAAAATCCGGTGATGGGAAGTGAAGTGTTTGCAGCAGAGAGGATGAAGGAGCAGCAGGACAGCAGTGAGTGGGGAAGAAGAGGCCCTGGCAGAGCCTTAGCGGTCTGTTCTTCACTTCCCACGGGCATTAAATGCGTTGTAGTCGGTAGCAGTGGGACTGGCCACCTGTACCTGTTCCACCCCTGCCGCTCGCGTGGCTGTTGACCAGTGACACGTTTCAAGCAAGCGCAACTGCGGCTTCGCCGAGGTCTGCCTGCGTTTGGCGTAGGGGTGAACCTGTCACTGTGGGCTACCGTACAAATTTGTATCTGTTGATGTTCAGGGGTCTACTGTTTCAACATAAAATTCTTTCACTTGTTCAGCAAGAAAGGAAACTGTAGCCTCAACAGGGGATTGAGTTCTCAGGTCTGGAGCTTGCTTGGACTGCCCTCCGTAGCCCGAGCCGCAGGGGGCTGCAGCAGAGGAAGGGAGCAGGCTGTGTTTTTAACTGCAGTGTGAAAACACCAACGAGGGGAACAGGCAAGGGCTCAGCAGGCGGAGGATGTGATGATGCTGGAGTTTGGAAGTTATCCTGGTGCGTGATGGAAAATGTGTGCCCTTGGCCGCACTACTCACATCGGATGGCTTATCCTAACGCAGGACACTCGTCCAGCCTCATGCTGCCCTGGCAGCCCAGTCCCGAGAGCTGCTGCAGGGGTTCAGCCCACTCTGCCTCGGGAGGAATTGAACTGACTGGGCTGGTGCTGGTGTTACTGGGAAGCTGGCCCAGGCAGGGCACCCACGGAAAGCAGTCTGGGGCATGAGGAGCTCCTGGGTGTGGTGCTGTTATGGCAGCAACCTTGATTCTACTGAGTACTGGCACATCTGGAGCAGGGAGAGTTGGCCTTGTGTTCCTGCTGGGATGGTCAGTGTGCTGCCCTGAGAGGTGCTACAGGGTCTGGTAGGAGATGAGAAGTAGAGAGGCTTCCTTGCTGGTCTCAGGATGAGGTTTCCCTTGTGAGGAGATGTCTTACAGGCACCTCTGTGGTAATATCCTGCTCTGGGGATGCTAAAATCTGTTCCCACATCATGTCAACATTTACCTTCTCCCCACTTGGATGCTCAGCAATTTTAATCTCTCAAGGGGTTGGAGCCATAATGAGCCACCTGGGCTTTGGCTTCAAGGACAGCATTTTACTTGGATCTGAACACCAAGAAATCTTGACCTGAAGATGATGTAGCAGAGAGCCGCCAAGTGGCTTCTTGGATTAGCATATACCTCTGAGTGACACCCTGTGGTCTGGGTGCTGTGGGGTTTCCAGTGAAACCTGCACCTAGGTGACATCTCCCTGGAGACAAAATCCTTTGAGAAAAATCGTCTATCGAGTCTGGCCTTGCTTGTGTCTGATGAACTCCAGCACCCATATCTGTGAGCTGCTTTAAAGCTCTCATCAGCTGTCACCCTGCGGTGGTAGCTCTCCAGATCTCTGTGAGTCCCTTCACAGAGGGACACTCTCAGGGCTGGCACTGGTGCTGACATTGCATCCACAGCCCTTGGTTTTATTTGATGCCTGTTGTAGATTGCAGGTGGGGAGGCAGGGACTTGTACGTAAATGGTTTTGTCTGCAATCTCTTTTCTCTTAAGTAGAGAAATGAAATTGCTGCTTTGTGGGTGGGTTTGCCGAGAGCTCGGGGTGTGCCCCCCAGGCTGTCCTGGAACACTGACTTGTGTCCATCACTGAACAGGAGAAGGAAATGTGCTGTGTGGAGCCGCTTCCCAGGAGCCAGTTCTCTGCACAAGGGTCCGTGTGTCACCACCTGCTCTGGTTGCTGCTGAAATGGCTGAATATTTGTCCCATGAGTGGAGGTGCCTGCGACCCCCCTACTCAGAGGGCTGTGAATGATTGCAAAGAGCTGGGGCAGGGCAGGGGGGGCTGGAGGAACTGCTCTGCTGGAAGGGACATGGGGGGCACTTTTAATGAGCTGTGCAAAGAGCTTGTTCCAACATCTTCTAATGAACTCAATGTCTACAGGCTCTTGGCTTGGTAACAGCTGAGGCAGCCAAATCTGCTAAAAGGAGCTCTGAGCAGGCAAATAGGGCCCAGTGCCTTCGGAAAACTGACTTGACTTCCTCAGTGGCCCCGGAGCAATTTAAAATTAACTTGGACGGAATGAGTCCTCCTCAGTAGGACAGGGAGACTTTAAGAATTTCCAGAAGAAAAATGACATCTCTTGCACTCGAAAGCAAAGAACCACTGTGGGGAAAGGGGGTGATGCAAATGTTTGATGGGCTGGGAGGGGGTGTCCTGGGAGGCAGAGGGGAGCTGGATCCGGGGCTGGAGAGCATGGCAGGAGCACGGGCAGACAAAGGTAGCAGTCAGGCGAGCAGCCTGGCAGGTGAAGTCAGGGATTGTAGCCCAACTATACATTTCATGCACGAAGTCCATCTGTTACGTACATGCTTGGTGATTTAGAAAGGCCAGTTGTGTGAAACGGGAAGCAATGGTCAATTAAAAGAGATGAGAGGAAGAACTTCAACAGGGAAGGAGGGGTGATCATCAGAAATAGGGTGACTACATTTTACTGCGTGCACTGTGAGCTGCAGCCTGGAGAGAGGGCAAGCTTGGCAAAGAGCAGGGATGTGCAAGCAGCAATACTTGAGAGAGGAAAAGGGAAGTTGACAGGAGTCAATATGAATTGGAAGCTAAGAAGCATAGAAAACATGAAAAGGCATGTGAAAGAATTGAGGAAGAAATCCCTGGGCAGGGTGTTGAGGGTCATGAGTAGGGTTTTGAGTGTGTGGCACAAAAAGAATCTGACCCACGGTATTCTGTTGAAAAAGCTGTATTCAATAAAACATTTGTCCTGTACTCAGGAAAGTGCTTGTAGTACAGTCCTATATCATAAGAAGTTGTCTGATAATGAAATATTTTTACTGTGGCAGTAACTAAAGGGAAACTCAAATACTTGCATCCAACCCTGGCTACTTTAAAATCTATGTTTAGGCAATTTCCATACAGGGATTTTACGAGGAGTTTTGTGAACCAATAAGCCGGATGCATTTCTGCAAGCCCCAGGGTAGGTGGAGATCACCAGGAATGCTGGCTGCCAGTCAGGCTGATCTGGAGTCCCTCTTGGGAAGCAGATTCCAAAAATGGGCTGGTGATGGCAATACATCAGTAGCTGAATGTGGCTGCCAGACTGGCTACCCACAGCCAAGAGGGCTAATGTGGTATTTGTGTGGATGGACATGGGGAAGTTGAGCAAACGCAGTGAGGATCTACCAGGCTGCTATTTGCTGAGGTTGTGGCTCTCACCGGAACGTCCTTCCAGTCTGTCTTCCACAGCTCAGAAATGGCTTTGACTAATTGGGGAAGTCTCAGAATGGGTAAAGGGCTGGAAAACAGGCCATATGGTGAAAGGCTGTGGGAGCTCAACCTGCTTCTTTGAAAGAATAAGAAGGGAAGGAGGAACTTGATTGCTACCTTGAAGGCGCATCCATCACAAGCAGAGTTTGGATAAGAGCAGCCTGGACTAAGGCATAAAGGAGGAGCATATAAAAAAATGCAAAGGATTGAGGCTGGCAGATTCAGATTATTGCAATATAATTTTAACAGTGAGGTTCAGCTGTCCCGTTTGTAGAACAGAGGAAATTATTCTGGTTTCCTGCCAAAACCAAAATACTTCAAGAAGTTTAAATAATTATTTAAAGTGTTTAATAAGCTTTACGTTTTTTTACCATAACTCCAGAGCAAAATGTCTTCCCTGAAGCTCTTACAGCTTGTGCCCCTGCCTTACTGGCCCTTTTCTAGACACTCTGCAAATACCCAGTGGGAGGAAAGCAACTCTGCTGGCAGGGAGGCTGGTAAACAAGGCTTGGTTTGTCTCCAGATTACATAATGTTTGCAAGAGCTGGGTTGGTAGAAATCAGATTCATATATCCATCCCACTGGAGAGCAGGTGGTGCCAACGGCATGGCCAGTAGCAGTCACGGCTGCAAAGTGAGAACAGTTTGCGAGCAAGATGCTAAAAGCCACCGGTACTTTTTTGTACTGGGTAGTTCTGGGTATCACAGATGGGATGTTCCTTTGCGCTGGTAGGGGGATAAAAGGGCTTGAAAAGCTCCAGTTCCAGCCAAAATCTCTCTTGGTATTGGGATTGAGGTCCATGGAGAGGTCCTGTCACCTGTCTGTCACTGTTTGCTTGGTCATGGGGTGGAAGGGTGATGGGGAGAGCCCGTGTGGGGGTGATGTGGCTGTGGTGACCATGTAAAGTGTGAAGGTTGATGGAGAAAACCCAAAGCTTGGCAGTGCCAAGGAAGGGCTTCTTCAAGTGCTGGTGGAGAGGCTGTGGGCGCTGGGCAGGCGGCACCAGGCTGTCTGCGAGCTGCCTGGGGCCAGTGGTGTACAAGGTCCAGTTGAAGTAGTGCCAAGGAAGGGCTTCTTCAAGTACTGGTGGGGAGGCTGTGGGTGCTGGCCAGGTGGCACCAGGCTGTCTGGGAGCTGCCTGGGGCCAGTGGCATACAAGGTCCAGTTGAAGCTCCTGATGTCCCCGTTCAGGTTGACGCTGGGACTGGTGGCTCGTGTGTGTCCCGTGCCTCAGTGCTGCACCTGGCTGAGCCAGTTCGCCTTACCTGACCCACATTCCTTGCCAGCACCTCCTTTCCCTGGGGCACCTCATTTGCCCTTCCAGGAGACCAGCTGTCTCCAGCTCTCCTACCCATGGGACGCTAGCCAGTGGCTTGGCTTCCTCTGCCGTAGCTCAGCAGGTCCCCCGGTGTGGAAAATCCCCGGAGCCTTCAGTACAGTGGAGACAGGGTCTGTGTCTGGAGGGGCAGAGATCATTTCCAAGGCTCTTGAGCAATAGGAAGAAGAGCTGCTGTAGTCCACAGTCACCGAGCACTTCCCTGGAAATCATTAAATGGTTATAAAATTAACCCAATCACAAGACCCGTTTTAAGGTTTGTATGTGCTACCATTTTCCCCCCTGAACTTTGATAGACTTATTTTGAAAAGAGAGGCAAACAAGGCTGCAGGGAGGTGAGAGAAGTAGGAGTCTGAGAGTGACACAGCAGAGGGATTGAAGGATGAAGATGGTGCTGTGCACAACGTGTGGACAGCCGTGACCGTCTCTCTAAAAGACCATTCTTCTGACGTTTCTTAGCATTTATTGTTTGCATACTAATCAAACTTGCTGGGCACTCGGAGCATTAATTAACGTTTGGGAGATACCTTGAAACCAAAACCCTTTCTATTTTATTTTGAATTTGTTTCGATGTTACTAATGGTTTTACGTTTTTATATTCTGGGGAGTGCTTGCTCTGAATCTAAGCTCTTCTGAAGTGGTCTTACTCCTTTTTTGTTCAATGATTGTCCTATCATAAGTGAAAAACTTGTTTAATATAGGTGCGATTTGTCCTCTTCTGTGGTAGAATAGGCTGGATAAACACTACAGCTTCCTTTTTAAAGTGGTTTGCTGTTGATCCAAGTTTTTGATTTCAAAGTTTTGGGAAAACCCTCCATGTAGTAGTTTTCTGCCCTGTTTCAGTTTTATCCCTTGGCTTTTGATCTTGCAGTGAAGATTAGTTATTAGAATCATGCTGTGTTTCATTGTAATGTTCTCCAGAACACTTTCCATACATGAGAGAGTAAATATCCCTTACTTATAATTAGTTTTCTAGATCATACCTCATCTGTTTCATCAGGTCAATTAAAGCCTTCACTGATATGCTCTTATATCAAGGTGGTGTTAAATATTTTCAGTTGCTCTACCTCTGTAAGAGTCAAAGTGTTTTTATTTTGAAGTTGAGTTTGTCACAACTTTCCTTGTAGAAAACAGAAAAATATTTTTCCAATGGGAGAAAAAAATGATTTATAGCCTTTATAGATCAAATGGAAAAGGGCTTAATGAGACCAAAGCTA